TCAACTCCCAGAATTCCCCAGCCAGCCTGGCTGGGGAATTCTGGGAGTTGAAGTCCACATAGCTTAAAGTTGCTAAAGTTGAGAAACACTGATCTACTGTATTCCAGGAGTTTCTGATCTCAAGTCAAGATCCATCCTGGAGCCTTTGGCTCTGGAGTCCACAAGGTAATGAAGAAGCTCATTAAACAATATTTTACCTTTTTTACTACACTTAGTTTATCTGGGGCGTGGTCAAAGAGTGTATCAAAGGCATCTCGCTCTGGTTTAAGAGAGAAAGAGAAAGAAGGCTTTATTAAAAGACACTGTTGAAACAGTGAGAATTCACTGGAGCAAGTTATACGTACATAATGATTATTTTTATTCCGTACCTGAGAACTCACAGAGCGCAGCATAAAATACAGTGGCCAGACATTGTATATTTATCTAACAGGAAGATGGTTTTGAATCGAAGAGGATGTTGTTTTCCAAAAGGATAAATAAATATAAACCCAAGACAAAAATCGTGTACACTACCTTGTTTCCCAACTAAATCCCAGGGATTTTTCCTCCTTATAAATGCGGGCATGTTATCTGTGTGTAAGACTATACTTCTACATATGTACATACGTGCATATAGATATTTGTAAGAAGATACGTGTCAGAAGCCACATTCCCACAAAACAGTAGACTCCGGGAAAATAAATATCTACTTGAATTAATAGCTACGGGTTAAATTCAAGGGCCTGTAGAATATAACACCCCATTTATCAAATTCATTGATTTTGCATCTGCAAATAACAGTCATTCTCTTGGATACACAAACCACTCACACACACGGAAGCACAAAAGTGTACAGACATATACACACTCACACCCTCCAGGAACCCTCATCTTCCTATTGGGTAAATACAGCATCCTAGGTTTGCCAGGATTAGACAGGCAATGGGTCCACGTTTGAACCCATCCCACTTCGGGAGACCTTTGCCACAAGAAATGCCGATCAAGGAGGGCAAATGGAAGGATGCCACAGAGGAGACCAGCAGGACTTTGTCCCCAGCTTGAGGACAGGACTGGAATGAGCAAAACTACAGCCAACCCAGGCACAAAATGCTCAGCACAGAAGTGATCGTGACAAACATTGTGTCGCGCTAACCATAATAAAATACGAAGAGTTTAAGCCGCAATTTCACATCTTTGCATCTTGTACTTTTATGTTCCAAGTTAAAATCTTTTACTTACCAAATCGTCCCATCATCATTCTGTAAACAAGAGGTTTAAAAGAAAACAGTTAATGGCTTCCTAAATGTTCATAGTTCTTAAGGAATTACGCAAAGGGGCTGTTTCTCTTGATGTGAGATCGAGGTTCCTAACCTTTCAAGCCAGAGAGGATGTCGTCCTCACTGCCCAGGGCATTTTTCGGTTTCGTTGCACAAAATTCTAGAACAAATTTTAGCATTTGTTCCCCTCTGAATCTCTCTCCCCCCGACTCTTTCTGGCATTTCACAAGCGGCTCCTGAAACTCTGTTCCGTCTGAAACCAGCAGGTGAGGCTTCGGACCAGACCGCTCAAAAAGCATCAGAACATTTAAAGCACAAAACTTAAATGCTTCTGGGAAATCTCACAGCGCAGCATGGAAGGACAATGTGAATTTCAGAGCCATTGTGGTTTTTCTGCTTCCATGCAGACTCAGTTTCTGCCCCCCTCTAATCTTAAATCTCGTGGCTGAAGCTGGCTGCTTGGCTACCTGCAGGGTGGGGGCTGTCCTGAATTCCAGTTCACCATGATGGAGACGTTTCTGGCCCCACTATGTCATGTCTGCTCTGATGGGGAAGAGTTCAGGATCAGGGGTTGCAGGAGGCAGAGATATCCCATTCGGGAAAGTGGAGAACTTCAGACAACCAACTTTTTCAGACAGGGCACAGCTGGAAAGGAGAACATACTAGAAACTGCTCTTGCTCCAGGTCCAAAAGAGAGGAGCAATGGCTGCTGGAGCGAAAATAGAGAGTAGAATTCAAGTTTGGGCAGGTGAGGACTTCTCCAGCAGAGCAAATGGGCAATACTGGTGGGAGAGGTCCTTCTCTGCGTATTTATACCCATCCTTCAGCGTCCCTCAACGTTGGTTCCAACTGAGGTTCTTCCCTGACTGTTTTGGAAATCTATCTTGGCTATCCAGAACTAGGTACCAGGACTCCAGGAAAACTCACGACCTCTTCTCTGGACCAACCTGCTGCTCTGAAACCCACGGAAAGACCTGGAACCACACTATCACTCAGAGGCTCTTAGCCTGTTTAACCGGCTTCTCTCAGCTTTCCTCTGGCGTGCCTGTGCCTGTTCACTTAGGGCAGTGTTCCTCAACCTTGGCCACTTTAAGATAGGCGGACTTCAACTCCCAGAAATCCCCAGCCAGCCATGCTGGTTGGGGAATTCTGGGAGTTGAAGTCCACCTATCTTAAAGTGGCCAAGGTTGAGGAACACTGACTCAGGGTGACTGACAGCAACGGCCTCTGGAAATCAGGACATGCCACACCAGGGGATTTAAACCTGCAGCCCACATCAGCCTCTTTAGCTTGCAAAAATACTTTGGAGGCAGTGAGGATCCTGACCACCAAGGCCAGGGTGCTGAGCGCCGCACAGACATGCCAGTTGGGCCAAGGGAAATGTCCCAGGAAAGGAAGTGACCGGGCGGTGGTGGCCTCACAACTCACGTTAGCCTAACCGAGAAGGTCTCCCAGCAAGGCTTCTTTTGCCAAGTGGTGCCACCCCTGGGAACCTCCCCAACTTTGCCATGCAAAAAAGGAAGGACGGGCTCTGGAAGGCGAGAGAGAGAGGAAAGGCGAGCAAAGAAAAGAGCAAATGGAAGTCAGATCTCTCTGCTCAGCCTGGAGAGGGAAGAAAAGGAAGAGGAGGATGCAGGCAAAACCTAGCAGAATGGGCCAGGACGTGAAGTGTGTTTATTTACTGTCACTGATAGGGGGCAGAATGCTTTTTTGACCCTGGGTATATGCTATATACAAGTAGTTCTCGTTTAGCGGCCACAATTGGGACCGGCAACTTGATTGTTAAGCAAAGCAGTTGCTAAGTGAAACTGTGACTGTGCTTACAATCTTACTTCAGCTTTCCTTTGCTTTGCGAAGGTCGTCAATGTGAGGGTTGGTTGCAAAGTTACTTTTTCATCACCATCATGACTGTGAATGGTCGCTAAACAAGGCAGTTGCTAAATGAGGACTACCTGTAATTGTTTTGGCATATCAATTTTTGAAAACAGTGTTATTGGAGGTTTCTGGGAGAGAGAGGGGGTGTTTGGTTTTCAACTCTCCATCTGCCACTTAGAGTCACTGTTGTGAGATGGGTGACCCTAAAAATTGTCTAAATAAATTAATGAATAAATATTGCAATTATAAAAGAGAATCCCGGTAAGATGATAAAGAGAGTGATGCTAAACTACTGATTTCAGAGAATAATTCTATGTGCCAACCAAAATGAAGCAACATGGAGCACTCAACTTTGCGCACACAGTGGTGACAAACACAGAGCTTACTCGGTTGTAGTGGTGATCTCCTCGGTCACGTGGGCCGTCTGGAGTAACCCTTCCCGCTTCTGGAAGAAAATCAAAGTCACACCTGGTGAAATGCTAGAAGAACCTAACAGGCTGAAGGAATGCATAGGAATGACCCCTTGGGAGAAAGTGATTGTGTTATTTCTGCTATCCAGAGGAGGAGAACCTGAGAAGTGTCAGATCTCCTTTTTCTCAAACCAGTAGAGATAATAAAGGTGGGAAACATCTCTGAAGGCAGAAGACAACCTGACCTGCCTTCAGCAAAACATTTCCCACCCACACCTGGCTTTGAACGAGAGGCAAACTGCATCAGCTTTAGAAGCCTTGAAATGCCCCCCGGGATCCTGCAGATTGATACGGCCCATTTATCCAGCAGCCCTGCCGATGGAGGGGAGAAGAGACGCCAAGCCCCAGAGAACTAGTGTGGCAGACACAATTGCTTATTCGGGCAGAAAGGAATTGTAATCCTCAGACTGCACGTTGCT